TAAGGTGAGGTATTTTTATTGAAAATTTGACGTATTTTTTTATTCCTTAAAGCGGTCGTAAATATTCCCATACAAATTCTTATAATTCCGCCATGACTGTTGTTGCGCAAGAGGATCATCTCACAGCTGGAGCTTGGGCTGCCTATGGCTCGAGCGATCCATCGCCGAAATCAAAAACAAACATGGTTAAACCTCGGAAACGACGATTCCATTTCATCGAAAGTGATTCGGACACAGACTGAACAATTCCTTGAACTGTTTAGCCGGACTTTGAACTTTTTTGCGCCTCAAAGATGTGAAGATATCAGTGCATATTATTGTTTTGATCGTACGCGGTTGTTTTGACCGAACACACGGTTTGAATAAATTATTTTTGCACGTGATGCGCGCGCTTTGCTTATGCTTAATTATGAGAAGCCATCTAGTAATTTTTCCTTGTATATTATTAACACGTAATCACATTATTTTCTCGTGCAATTTGGAATAAACAAGCACTTGTTAATTTTTTTCAAAGACCACAAATTGCACTCGCCCTACGGGCTCGTGCAACTTTGTTAGTCTTTAAACAAATTTACTTGTGCTTATTTATTCCAAATTGCACTCGAAATCATGTGATTACCTAGACAAATAATTCGATAGATGTATTTGGAATGACAATAGATAATAGGCTTTCTTTTGATAATCACATATCAGTTATTTGTAAGAAAATAAATAATCAATTTAGCGTCATGCTTAGATTTCGGAAACTTATTAATAAGGAGACGCTATTGAAGCTTTATAAAGCCTTTAATTAGCCTTATTTTCTTCTGTTTGGCATTTCTGTGGTGCGCGCAATGCCGACAAAGTAGATAATCTAAATAAGCCTATTCTTAGGTTTATACTACAGGACTACAGCTCTCCATATGACATTTTACTAAGCAAAGTTAACTTAAAATCTCTATTCATTAGACGCCTCCAGAACTTCATGATCACGTTATATAAGAGTCTGTTCTTTACGAATTATCCAGGTTATTTAAAAGATATGTTCACCGTACGGCCTTCATCCTACAATTTGCGCGGAAATCATATCATGTCCCTTCCCAACCCAAAAACAACGACATACGGTCTGCAGTCTTTTTCATACTTAGCTAGCAAAAATGGAACTCTCTCCCAGACACTTACAGAACATTAAATTTTCTAGAATTCAAGCAGGAGATCCTCAGATATGAAGTTCTTCCACAGTAGATCTACAAGTTATATTTCCCTCTTAGTTTTCCCTATTAGCTTTTAGTTGTTTATAGTTTATAAACAATATTGAAATTGTAAGATAGCATATTTTTATTTCATTTTAGCTTTTTTCTCGAAGATATTGGCTCTATAGCTACACTGAATTTCGAGCTTAAATAAAGTATATGTATGTACACGATGTCAAGGAACTGAGGTGATTCTGCAGCACGGTATGCAAGGAACAAAACACATGAAGTTACAAAGTGAAGCCATATCACGTGTTACGAAAACAAAATTGAAACGAAAGAGGAAAGTAAGCGAGGACATACTAGTAGTGTTCATGACTTACGTCACCGGAAGTGTAATCTAATACATGTGATTGCATTGAATAAAGTATCAGTCTAATCACCATATGCTCCGAGTAAGACGTACAACAATCCTAGTATACAATCCTACAATACTCACCAAGTGTGCCACTCGAATCATAAGATAAACACGTCCGATAAGAAGCTGTATTTAACTACCTGAAGAAAGAACGGGTCTCCGAAGGTGTCCTATCAATTTAAAACCCTGAGCTTGAAACTAGCTGCTGATGCTAGCAATTACGGAGTACGGGTCTCAGATGTTCTCCTTCAGAAACAACCTTCAGAAGAACTTTATCCAGTGCCACAAGGCCACACCAGTCGGCCTGGGAAAGTTAAGGAATGTTGTCATGCACAAAAAAAAGAAAGGCTGTGGCTCATACGACGGCTCCGCATCTTATTCTACAGGGATAGACCCCAAGCCGATGGATTCTTCCCAGAATAGATGACTGCACTGGTTGCAAACTGAAGACACGAGTGCCTTGTCATCTAGATGAACTGCTACCCAAATTGCCTGACTACGATGAAATATGTAGAAAAGAGAATACTTACAGGGACAAGATGGCACACGACTACAATCACAGATTCAATATCGTATATAGAGTGTGAACAGCCATCTCCTGAATACCAGATTTGCACAAAGAGACTGCAAGATCCTTTATTGATTGACACGCCCAAAAGCAACGTCCGAAGAAACCATCAAATGATTCAGAAACTAGAGCCTCAAGGCTAATGAGCCAGTACAACAGGTGCAGTCACATGGTGAGGAAGTACTTCCCACTTCAGCCGAGAGTCTGTCCGAGGTGGAGACCTTAACAGCATCCCAGGGAGTTCCTGAGTGCCTCCTGGATTCACCAGCTCTGTTGAACAGCTTCGTTGGTTGATTAATTCTGATCTGGCGGGTATCACAAACCTCCAGCTCCTCTGATCGCACTATCATAGTTGCTGTGGTATTCCCAACGATGTAGGTGTATTTGGTCAGAGGTACATGAAATGATATGTGGCAATACCGAAATGTGAATAAATTAAATGGTTAAGAATAAAAAACTTAGGTGAGATGCCATCACTGAAGTTAAGCAGATATTATCGTAGTTCTTTCCGTAAGGATACGGATTTCTACGTGAGCTGCTTTATAAAAATGATGTTTGTCAGTGTTGCTTGAAATCACTTTTTCTCAACTGAAAGATAATTTGAAGTTTAGGCGACAGAAAATGTCATATATCTCACCTTGGCGTACTTTACCTTATCATCTACGAGTAATTGGATCTCACTCCAATGTAATCTTTCAATTAGCTACGAACAGTCCCTCCAATACAACAAAGAAACCTTGAGTGTACTCTGTCCTGTTGTTAAGCACGCAGGAAGCGGCTAGAGCACACACAAAAAAAGAGCGATTTAACAAGGGGACGGGAACGTCATTTAAGAACGGGAAAGCGCGCGGATAGTCTGGACATGACTCTGTTTCGACTTCCGGTGTTAGCATTGCCGTTCTTCCCAACAAGTTCAGGACGTCATTGCGCTGGTTTCCCCGTCGCGATCAAAACGCCTGGGATTTGCGTAAATTTTGCTCTTATAAACGAGATAATGCTGTTTGGAATTATTTCAGAACTCATTTCCAGGATAACCTGGTCCATTTCTTTGTTTTATTCGGTGTATTTGGGAAAATTTACCGCTTCATTTATGCTGGATTCCCGAAAGGAAACAATCGTTGGCAAGCGCCGGATCCAAGATTTTAGGGCTCAGTACACTTGTAATCGAGCAAGGCTTAAAGCAGCGAAAGGGCTGTTCTTTGATACATTTCTTTAATCCTGTATGAAAACTCTAAGAATGGGACGCTGTTAATTTTATCATGAATCAATTCATCAATAAATTAAACTTACTTTATGTTGAAGTTTATCAAAATGAATTATCACGGCGCTTATCTACTGTATTATTCAGTGTTATTTGTTGTTATTGTCGTTTTTACCGTGATTGAAAACTTTTCTGCAAATTGAAGTCAGGGATGAAAAAAATTGAGAATAGCTCAGGTCTGCACTTTTTCATGTTTGAAATTTTTGACCAGCGCAGGTGAAAACTAAGACAAGAAAGTCATGCTCTCGCTTTGAAATAAAATGACAATCAACTCGATTTTGGCACAACTTTCTAAATCTATTAATTTGATTCAGTCTTGAACGACTTCATTCGTTTAAAAAAAATTAAATTAAACAAAGACGA